GACACTTTACGCGTCTTTAACATCCTTTACGATTATTTACGCACTGTTCTTTACGGACCTTTATCATTCTTTACGCACAATAAGTTTACACGTCTTTAATTTTATGTTCGTGTTTATCAGAATCTCTTCTTTTACGTTGTTTCATACACAGGCATAAACCTGCTGTCCGCGTCAATATATTTAATAACTTAAAATAGGCGCTCCCCATTTCGAGCTCGAGAGATTAGTTTTTTTTTTCTTTTTGAAACATGTATGATTGGACGAACAAAAATGCGTACAAGCTACATAATGCCTATTACAGGAAGCTTTTCGAGCCATAAGATCAGCTGATTGCCTTGGCCTGCGTGTTTTCTATTCCATTACGCCATTACTGTGTCCCAGTCTGGGACACAGTAATGGCGGCCGGAAATCGCTGAAAACATCTGGAATTCACTTCTGCTGTAAAAATCGATCCGCTCGCCCTTTAGAACTAGCAGATATTTACATAAACACTTTTCACGATACCTCGACTGTTTAGATTGCTAAAAATCGCTGTAAGAGTATAAGAGCTGTAAGAGCTGAAAACCTTCAAAAGGAGATGCATTTAGGATGTTCAATAACCAAAGAAAGCTGAAAACTCAGGGGCCCTGCGATTTATCATTTTAGAATATCGATGACGTCACGTGAAAACAAAGAATACTCAGCATTTTCTGCCCACCCCCTCAAGTTGCGTTTTATTTAAGTCTTTAATGAAGATTAAAGATGTTTACCAACAAATTTGGAAAACCACATTGTCTACGTGTCCAGGAATTTATTTATTATTTATTGAAAAAAAAACTACCTCAGTAGATTTCAAAAATTTAAATGTTAATGGAAAAAGACATGTCAGAGAAAGCAAAAATAAAAACACTGTTTGCGAGGAACGTTTTAGCATCATTTCTATAATACTATGTAAAACAATCAATGAAAATAAAAGAATATTAAAAATATTGAACCATTGATCTGTTGCCATGGTGAAGTGGTACCACGAGTTCGCAAGGTTTTACTGTTATTTCTTTGAATAAAATTGTGCACTCGATAAGTACATGTACTTTATAGAAATATAATTTACTGCCTTATTTTACTGCATACAGCTATAAATCTAAGCTTGGAATGTATAATGTTAATAGGAACGTATAATGTTATTGTTGTATACACGCCAAAAATAAAAATCAGTTTCTTGGGGAATCTAAACAGCTCTAGGAAAAGGTGCGATTTAAAGGAACTATGACAACTTTGTCTTCAAATGTAGATGCAACAACGAATTTGGAAAGAATTGTGGCCACTGGAAGATACCGTGATGGGCCTCCAGGTAGAAATGTTTTTCTCCAAATTTCAACAGGTTTTCCATACTTGTCCTTGTTCTCATCGTCAGTATACCAGTCTACAAGGACAAATACATGTTGTTGACTCTCAGATCCAATTTTTAACGTATGCTGAACGAAGCAATCCACTTTGCCTGGTCGCAGTCCAGCATCAGGTCTGATTAAGCCATGGTCATCAGTCCATGATGCAACTATTCTTGCAGACTTGAGTGACCGGCATTCAAGTTTGGAGCCAAATTTTTCTGGGCCAATAACAACACTGCCAAATCGTCGCACAGTCTTTGCAAGGCAGTCAAGGTTTGTGATGACATTTCCATACATAGCCTTGTAAACAAAATGAAGGGAAGAGAGCTCATCTTCATCCAAAGCCCTAACTTTGTGGAAACGAGGTAGATAAACTTCTCTTTCCAGCATTCTCCAATCAATTTCCAACAAGTTGTTTGAAATTGCAGCATTAATCAGTTTAGGCCCTAGCTTGACAATGTCAATGATCTTCTCAGCAGTGTTTGTAAGATGGTGAGAGAAAACTGGAAGGAAGTGTTCTTCAAACTCATTAGGCAATGAAGTAGTTGAAATCAAGTGATCAGACAGTAACTTTCTCATCAGCTGAATTTCAATGCACCTGTTATTGGTCTTGAAACTACTAAGGATGCCATTGAATCGTTCAAAGCTGAAGCACCAAAAATTATAAATTGGGCCATAGTCTAATACACACTGTTTTAAATGCCCCTGCAGGTGCATGTTTGGTTTCAACTTTAGTTTGCCATAGAGCTGCTCAAATTTTTCACAAAACTGTAGAAGCATTAAATCTGCCTTTTGCAATTCCAGAGCAGTTATAACCGGTCTTGTCAGGAACTTGCAAGCCAACACAAACGCCTGCCAGCATCGCATATGTTCTTTAGGTAAAAGACCATCCAAAACAAACAAAGAGTAGACAAGTGTCCAGTTTTTCCACTGTGATGCCGTGTAACATCCATAATTTGCTAATTTTGTGTGGCAGTCTCCCAAGCCCTGTTCCAACATCAAACATTTTGATTCGTTTCTCCATTGTCTGGATGTCTTGCTTACTAAGAAGGCATAATTCCATCCACAGCTTAAACATTGATTTTGCTGTGCCTAAGAATAAGTTATGCATTGGATCGATAACAGTGAACCGAATGCAGTCAAAGTAACTTAACTCAAGAAGTACACTGTAATATAGTCCATACTGTTTGGCTAATAGATCATGTTCTTTTTTAGTTTTAGCCTTTGACAACTTTCTTGCATGTTGTTTGTGAGAATGGATTTCTCGCTTTGGCCATTCCTCTCTTTTAAAACCTGAGAAGTCAAATGAGTCTTTAACATTTCCAGGAAAGAGCTTAAAGCACTTAGAGCAACCACGATGAGAATTGTGGCTCTTAAAGCCACAAAGTTTCCGGGCAGCAGGGACATCACAAGAAATGCAGGCAAGTGCAGCTCTGAAATGCAGGCAAGTGCAGCTCTGAAACGCAATGGTAAACGACACAAACTTGACTTTAGATACACTCCATTCCAAAGGACTTTCATTTCCTTTACAAGTGGTGCTAAAAACTCATTGAGACTTGCTGGTTCCTTATCCAGCCCAGGAACAATGCCAACAACAATGATATTCTCCCATTTAAAGCCCATACTTCTTGGTAGGTTAAGATTTGCCAGGTAGAGAACTCCTACAGAATAATCATTCCTGTGCTTGATTGGCTGGAAAAAATCAAAGTTCAACATGAACATGTAGTTTCTGGGAGCACTGAGGAATGGTTCACCATCAACAGTTTGAAAGTCCTTCCACACCTGTCCATCAACAATGTCAGCAAGGTAGCCTTCTTCACTTTGATGGTCACGCCAGGACTCGCATTGTTGTGGAAAATTTTCTCTCATAACCGTTTCTTGAAGCTTCTCTTTAACACTGTTGTAGCAGTATACCTTAAGAGGATAGAATTGTTCAGTTCCATTGGTAAGAAAAACCTTTTTCGCTAAAGGTGCTCCACAAGTGGCACTCCTTGGGTATCGCTTATATTGACAGTGCTTGACAGTCCTTTCTCCTCGATGGTCAATTTCTGTGCAGTCCTTCTTGTCATAAAGCTTACTGCACTTCGAGCAAACAGCATACTTGACAAAGTTATCACGATCAAAACATGCAAACTTGCGAAGAAGGTACAATGATGAAGGAATGATAGCCACCAGATCTTCAAGCTATTCACAACCAGATAAATCAGAAAGCACCTTAAAGAACCTTTACCTTAAAGAACCTTAAAGAACCTTTTTTATAAGCCTGTGTAATTATAAGGCAAGTCACAGGCTATTCATGTTTACTTTTGATAAGCAGCCTGTTAGTATGTGTGAGCAACTTCCAAAAGAAACACTATTTTGTTTATAATATTAAATAAAGAAATTTTTCTTTCCTTTTCAGAAAGTTGCTCGTCGAATTGCAGCAATTGACCAGATGACAGACTGGAACGATGAAAAAAAGGAGCGTGGTAAAAAATTTTTAACTATAGAATACACCAGCTCAGATGAAAGTGAAGTTTCAGATGATGAAAATGGACCGGAAAGAAAGAGATTCCTGACGAAAAGGTTGGCATGGGAAAGTTCAAGTCTTAGAGAATTCAAAGACATGCTTGATCTCAAATATAAGAAGTCCCTGAAGCCCCATGTTCGGAACTTCCAAACTGAAAGAGTCGTCTCCGAAAGAGTGTCTGCAAGAGGTCCACCTCCATTTGCCCCAAAATGGGCATTAAAGAGTACCAGTGGTTCCACTCCAGTGGCTACTAGCACTCCTGCACGGGGAAGACATTAATCAGGGAGTGTTGCTTTGAAAGGGCTAGCAACCTTGATTAACACCTTC